ACCCCCCAAAATGTAACCCACACCCCCAAATATTTGCAGCCACCCGTCCGGAAGGATGGGCTTTGTAGTCCCCTGCAGCTGAAAGACCAGGCTGTGTCTGTGTCTGTGTGTGTGTGTGTGTGTGTGTGTGTGTGCCTGCCCAGACCCTCAAATCTGGGGAGACCCCCCCCAAATCCCAGCATCTTTGCTCTTTGTGCAGCCTCCCCCACAAAAAACCACCTACCACCCCATCGTTTTAAAACCTTAACCCCTTTACAACCCCTTCTCTTTGTGCCCCAAATTACCGACCCCTGCGCCCCCCTCCCCATATGACTGCGCCCCCTCCCCAATACCGTGAGGAGATGCCGTTCCCTTTTCGCCTTCCGGACGTTGTTCAGGAAACGCCGTCCCATTTTCTTGGCGTACCAGACGGAGACAAACATGATGTGGCACACAGCAAGGGAAGTGTGTGTGTGTGTGGGGGGGGTTGTGACGGACCGAGGCAGCCCCCCCCGCCCCCCCCCCAGTTCCTTAGAAGCAGCTTCAAGGTTCCCCAATGACTCCCAGCTTTGCTGTCTGGACTGGGGGGGGGCGGATAGTTGGCTTTGCGGTGCCAAAGGGGAGGGAGGGGAGGGAGGGAGGGAGGGCAGACCTGGGAAAGTCCTGCTTTTGGGGGGGCGGGGGGGGCAGGAGGCTAGATTGTGCTAATGTCTTGGGGGGGCAGCAAGGAAGGCGCTCTACCCCTCCCTCCTGCTCAGCCTCCTCATCCTCAGGGGCAACCCCTTCCTTCCTTCCTTCTCTATTTCCTTTTTCCTCCCTCTTTCTCTTTTCCTTCCTTCCCACTTCTCTCCCTTCTCTATCTCCTTTTTCTTCCCTCTCTTTCTCTTTTCCTTCCTTCCTTCCTCCCTCTCTCCCTTCTCTATCTCCTTTTTCCAACCTCTCTTTCTCTCCTTCCTTCCTTCCTTCCTCCCTTCTCTATCTCCTTTTTCCTCCCTCTCTTTCTCTCCTTCCTTCCTCCCTCTCTCCCTTCTCTATCTCCTTTTTCTTCCCTCTCTTTCTCTTTTCCTTCCTTCCTTTCTCCCTTCTCTATCTCCTTTTTCTTCCCTCTCTTTCTCTTTTCCTTCCTTCCTTCCTCCCTTTCTCCCTTCTCTATCTCCTTTTTCCTCCCTTTCTTTCTCTCCTTCCTTCCTTCCTTCCTTCCTTCCTTCCTTCCTTCCTTCCTTCCCACCTTTCTCCCTTCTCTATCTCCTCTTTCTCTTTTCCTTCCTTCCTTCCTTCCTTCCCACCTCTCTCCCTTCCCTATCTCCTTTTCCTTCCCCCTCTTTCTCTTTTCCTTCCTTCCTTCCTTCCTTCCTTCCTTCCTTCCTTCCTTCCTTCCTTCCTAACTTTCTCCCTTCCCTATCTCCTTTTTCCTCCCTCTCTTTCTCTTTTCCTTCCTTCCTTCCTTCTTTCTTTCCGGGGGGTGGGTGGGTGGGATCAAACCCGCTCACTCTCTCAACGGGGGTCCTGAAAAGATGGGGAGCAGTAGCAGGTGGGGGGGGCATCAGGGAAGGGGGAAAAAAACCCCAGCCTGCCCCCCCCAAGAGAGAGAGAGAGAAAAAAAAGGGGGGAGAGGGGCAATATCTAGGCAGGGGGGAAAGAGTGCCGAGGCCGGGGTCTCTGCTGCCACGGGGAGAGCGTCTCCTAGGCACTGGAAACCCCCCCTCCTTTTCTGCCTTCTCAAACCCCCCCCCCCAATCTGTCGGCCATGCTCCTCCCCGTTGCCTTTTCGGAGCAGATGGAGGCCCAGATGGAAGAGGAAACGAAGCCCCCCCCCTGCCATCCCCAGGCCTGCTGGGGCCAAAGAAGCAGGAAAGGGGGAGCCAGCTCCTTTTGGGGAAGGGGCTCAGGCAGAAAGCCAGGGTCTCTCTCCCCCCCCACAACCCTGGGCATCCTGAGGCCTCCCCTTCCCCTCCCCCAGCCTAGGTGGGGGGGGGACCCCCGCTAAAGGACCGACCCCGAGCTGACGCTTGAAACAGCCGCCCCCTCCCCTTTAATCTGGAGAGCATCTTTTCATTGGTAGGGAAGGAGGCGAGAGAGGGGAGGGGGCGTTGAGCTTCCGGTGCGGGGGGGGGACAGAAAAGCAGGAACCAGGGCTCTGGGTCTTGCGGGAGGGGGGGGAGCTAGGACGGAGGAGGTCCGGG